TAACCGTGATCATAGTTTCTCTTTTTCCCACTCCGGAATGGCTGACAGAGCAAGACTCCTTAAAAAAAAAAAAAAAAAAAAAGAAAGAACCACTTTGATCCAGAAAGTGCAGTATCCATTCCTCAGAAATGCCTGTAGCTAAACTATATAAAGCAAGGGGTTCATTTATTCTACTTATTTTTTATTTAATACATAATCTGCACATGGTGCCAAATGGAGAAAAGGCATGTACTGTGATGTCTCCCTCCTAATCCCTTCTCCACCCTTTTTCGTACAAACTGTATCTATTCACATGGTTTATCACCTTGCCTGTAAACAAGCAATATATTTGGAGATTATTCTTTATCAGTACAGAAAGAACCTCTTCCTTTTGGTGGCTCCATAGTATTCTATTGTATGAATACATTGACTTTATTTCTCTCGTCTCCTACTGGTAACCACTTAGTTTTTTCCAGTCTTTGTGATTTCAAACAATGCCGCAGGGACTGGGAAGGCAGAGGTGCTTCCTCAGCCTATTAAAGTTTTGTGAGGACAGATGCTCTTCTTGATAGCCTCTGCCAGGCATGACCATTTAGCATGTCACGCATGTCCTTATCTGTTACGGAAATCTCCACTGCTGAGCTTCTCACAGTCTTCCCTCTGAGTGACCGCTCATAGGTTGTGTTTATGGTCCCCTCCTCTCTCCATCTTTTTCTAATGACCTCTGCATCTCTGCACCCCATTTGCATCTGGCCTCCCAGCTTCTTGGGGTGATTTTTCCACGGAGACCGTCTCCAGAGACAGTCTCTGCCGCTGTGATTGTCGCCTCCCTATTTCCCTGTTACCTCTTTTGATTTGAACTTTCCACCTTCGTCGCTCTTGCAGCAGGCTCTTCACCACAGATAGGTTTGCAATGGGCACAGCTTCTTTTTTATTAAAAAAAAAAAGTGTTTAGTTTTTTTAATGCAAAAAGGATAAAGAAGATAAACTTCACCTATAATCCCACCACCCAGAAATGTCTGTTGTTTATACTGTGGTACATGGATGTCTCATCTTCATATCGAGTGTGTGAGTATAGTTACATCTATGTATAGATGTGTGATCATTTATAGCTTCCGTATACATAAGACTGACCTTGAACACTGTATTTAACACTATAAATCTCGTAGGCATTTTCTCTTGTCATTAACATTCCTTGTAAACATTATTAGTAATTTTTTTTTATTTTTTTTTACGAGGAGTCTTGTTCTGTTTCCCAGGCCAGAGTGCGGTGGCACCATCTCAGCTTGTTGCAACCTCTGGCTCCCAGGTTCAAGCGATTCTCCTGCCTCAGCCTCCCAAGTAGCTGGGACTACAGGCAAGCACCACCATGCCTGGCTAATTTTTTGTATTTTTAGTAGAGATGGGGTTTCACCATGTTGGCCAGGTTCGTCTCGAACTCCTGGCCTGAAGTGATCTGCCCACCTTGGCCTCCCAAAGTGCTGGGATTATAGGCGTGAGCCACCGCGCATGGCCCCCAGAATTGCTTTCTTTCGTGACCCAGTGAATGCTGCTTTCAAAGCAAACTAGTGTTTCAAGTGTTAAAACTGGCCTGAGTCAAAGAGTTAGGGAGTAGATTAGGCTTTATTGTGTCATATGTGTCCTGAGAGCTTTATATGCATTTTCTCATTTAATTCTTAAAATGACTTTGTGTGAGGCAGTTTCATGTTTTCACTTTACAGACAAGGACACTGAGGCTCAGAGAGGATGAGTAACTCACTCAAGGTTACACAGCTAGCAAATCACAGAGCCAGGATTTGAATTAATGTGTGCTGCGCTCTAAAGTCTGCATCTGCTAGAGGGTGTAGACATAGGCTTTTGAATTTTTCAGTAATAAATTTGAATTCTAAAGTAATTTGATAGAAGCCAAAGTAATGGTGTGCTGGTAAGACAGGTCTCTAGAAAATGAAAAACCAAAAACCTGATTTGTAGTGTTTCCAATTTCTGTGGTGTAAATACTCCCACCATAGCCAATTTCAAGCTGTCAATGGTTTCACAATCCACTTAGAGAACTCCTGAGTATGTAACCATCCGTGCAAGTTGATACGGATGCTTCCTTCATCCTACTGGCCAAACAGTTGATTACTTACCCAGTGCCATGTGTTTTTTTGCACTCTGTGTTCTGGTAGGTTAAATAAATAAAAATAGTGCACTCATTTCTAAGTGAGGCAGCTGCACACATCTACAAAGTCCTTCTAAAAATCAGATTTCCGTGGCATCTTTGAAGTTTTCTAAAGTTCAATGACTATTAGGCAACATATCTTCCCACTACTGAAGTGGATTTTTTTTTTTTTTCCCACATGTGTGTGGCTTTCAGTGTTTGTGACTAATTCTGGGATTCCAGTCTTTCCCCAAGGATAAGAATTAAGATCAAGAGACAGGCTAGTGATAAATTGTTAGGATGTGGTCAAAGACACAAAGCTAATTCACCATGTCTGTGTTCTGTAGATTAGACTATCACCAGAATATGTAATTAGAGCCTGTTATAACATGGATTTAATCAATGATGGAAATATGAGGTAAGAGAAATGTGCAAAAATTACTCCTAGGACTTTCCAGCACTACCAGGGGAAACCACTTAAGAAAATCCAAATGGTTTAACAGTAACAGAGGAAACTCTTTCCATTCCCAACAATGACTTCAGGAAACCAGCTGAAGCCATCATCTTCCTTCAAAGCCCGTGGTCTGCCATACCTGAACCTTTCCACCAAGGTTGTGTGATGCTTGAGTCACTGCTGAGGCCGTTTGCAGCCTGTTGAATATTATATTGTTTTGTTGTTGTTTTTTGACAGAGTCTCTCTCTGTTGCCCAGGCTGGAGTGCCGTGGCACAATCTCAGCTCACTGCAACCTCCACCTCCCAGGTTCAAGTGATTCTCACACCTCAGCCTCCCGAGTAGCTGAGGTTACAGGCACCCACCACCATGCCCAGCTAATATTTTTTGCATTTTTAGTAGAGATGGGGTTTTGCCGTGTTGGCCAGGTTGGTCTTGAATTCCTGACCTCAAGAGATCTGCCTGCCTCGGCCTCCCGAAGTGCTGGGATTATAGTCGTGAGCCACCATGTCTGGCCTTGAATATTGGTTTTATTCCTGCCATTTAGGGACACTAAATAATTGTCACAGTATACATCCCCAGACAGAGGGTCTGGGGGTGATCTATACATTTGTGCAGTGACTTTTTGGTGGCTGAAAAAACAGAGAGTTGAGCACCATCTTTGATGACTTAGTCTTGGCTGGAGGATTTGTCAGGCACTGTCTGATAGGTGGAGGAATCTGCATCCTTGAACTAGGTGGGAGGTATGCCCACTTTGCTGGTAGTTGGCAAAGAATGATGGCTCTCTCACTGTAGTCATTCTCATCCTGATTGGCCACCTTATTAAAAGAGGAGTTCAGGGAACTCTAGCTGGGCTTTTATTTCAAGGGTGTTTTCCCAGCCTATGCTGATAGATCCTCCTGGGTTGTAGTCTTCAGATGCAAACAGGATCTTATTGTTTCCACTGGGGAGCAGCATGGGTGAAGGAATGGATTGAAATGTGCGTCATCTTACCTTTCCTACCTGAATCTGAATCCGAGTTTGAAAAACAAAACAAAACAAAACCTAAAACAGAACAGAAAAACGTTCTGGTCCTACCTAGACAGCTATATCCTCTCAAAAACACTCTGTACTTTGCCTGGGTTTCCTCTGATTTGACCCAGGATGACTGCAGTCTGCTTTCCATCATCTTAAAGGTGTGGCTAATTAGTGCTTGTTCTCTGGAACCGTCTACTCTCCTATTACACTCTCGATCCTGTTTTTTAAGAAAAAGAAGTCAGGAGAAGGTCGTAGGCATTGGCTCAAATACTCCCAGGACTTTATGGAATGCATTTCCCATTTACTCTCCATTTCAGTGCTTATACTATGCTGGGGGAAGCTGAGCTATGGCTTTACCGTGCTTAGTGAATAAATGGCTATTTCTCTGTGTTAATGGTCTGCATGTCTTATTTCATAGGTCACAGGAATGAGAAAGTACAGCTCTGTCATTGATTTGATTGTTTTTGTCCAGCCATGAGAAACACTCCCATCTCTGTCCCCAATCCCCTGTTAGTGAAAAATCCCCAAATACACTAATTCCTCCCTCTCTTCAGAAACATTACATTGCAATAGTAGAAAATGCGGAGGGGTGGGTGTGGTGCTTCGACAAAAGGGAACCACTGAAGCCTGGTTTCTGCCTGCAAAATGCGTAGTCCAGTTGAAGGGACGTGGAATCATTTGGGGAATCAAGCCTGCTCTGACTCTTGGCTCCCTGGACCGTGTCATCATCTGGACGCCAGATAAAATACAGATGTTCAGCGAGAAACACAGCACCAGACCATTTTCCTTTTGGCGTGCGCTGCCTCTTAAATGCCTGAATGCCAGACAAACTCATTTTCAGCATTTTGCTTCAGCTATAACTCACAGAAGATATCCCAATCTGGATTGAATCATCTTCTCAGCTATGTCTCTGAAAGAGGGCCCACGTTCTCTGTGGCCTCTGGCTGCCGGGTTTTTCACGGTCTCTGAGCTGCTCTTCCTTGAAGTCACATGTGTAAAACTGCTGTAGTAGACAGCAGCCATGGACAGGCCTCCTCTCCAGCCCAGCATAAACCACAGAGCTGTCACTCCCTCGAGCCCTTAGCACACTCCTCCTGTACAGCCGTCTCTCCGGCTGCCATTGCCTTTGCATCAAATTGACCCTTTAAACCAATTGTTGCCTCGAAATCAAATGAAGAGCAGCTCCTGTTTTTGTGACTGTCTCTGCATAGAACAGGAGTCAGATTTTTCCAGCAGGAAGAGGATTTTGTTTTGTAACAACCTCGGACACGGAGGGGTCGCTGAAAGTTTGTAATTACCTTGCAAGGAAGCCTGTAACTGAGGCTCAGGTGTGAGGAGGCGTGTTGTGAAGACGCAGGGAGGAATGCGCACCTGCAGGGCTTTGCTGTTGGATTCCAAGCTCCCACACCTGTCTCCTCTCCTCCCTCCTCAAGAAGCTTCATGCTTTCCCTGTCTGCAACTGGGGAGAGTAACTTTTAAAGGCAAGCTTGAATGATGGTGAGCTCTAATAACGCAGCCATGGAGACCATCTGTTTTTAGCATAAATTCTAATATGTTCGAGCAGTCCTTCCTTGTCTAATTGGAAAAGCCTACCCTACAGGTGTAAAATTTTCCTTTACTATAAAAAGGACATGTAATAAGGACATAGGGCCTGCCTGTGATGGAAGTGACTCTGAAATTTCAGAGAAAAATGATACCGGGGCCATTTCCCTCCGTGACTCTCTTCAGTTGCTTCTGGGCCTGCTTCACCCAGGTAGAAACTCAAGAGGGTGGACCAATCATAAATTTGCCCTTTGGGCTCTCTCTGCTGGCTGAACACCAACCTCAGCTTCCTACCTACTCCTGCTACAAGCATCAGAGAGACTCAGGAACGACCCCAACTTGATTCTCACTCCAAACTCTTGTTTTTCTGCACAGCCTTTCTCTCCTGGATAGTTCAAAAAACCAGAGTTATAGAAGGAAGGAAGCAGAGTAGGCAGCTAGACCCCTGTGATCTCTTTTTGGGAGGCACATACCATTCCAGAATTTGCCCTCCTCCTGGGTCTGGGTGGCACGCACGCACACCCCACGCAGCGGCTGCAGTCCTTCCTGGCAGCTGCTGCACTCGTCATGACCAGGGCCTGTGCAGGTTTCACACTCTCGGTGGCAGGGCTCACATTCTCCCATTTCTTGGTCACCATAGAATCCAGGGCCACATTTCCTCACACAACTGCCACCTATGTGAGAACACAGAAAGCATGAAGGCTTTGGTGATCTTTGCAAGGCCAAGTTCTAAAGAGGCTGGAGGAAATTTTAGGGACCTTTTTCTTTGTATTTGTTTTTATTGTTATTTTTGAGATGGAGTATCTCTCTGTTGCCCAGGCTAGAGTGCAGTGGCATGATCTTGGCTCACTACATCCTCCATCTCCCATATTCAAGCCATTCTCCTGCCTCAGCCTCCTGAATAGCCAGGACTACAGGTGTGTGTCACCACACACGGCTAATTTATATATTTGTAGTAGAGATGGGGTTTCACCATGTTGGCCAGGCCACTCTGTCCAGGCTTTTCATTTGTTTTTAAAGAAACCAAGATGGCTTTAGCTTATTTCAACCAAGAAATGTGTTTTAATAAATCCAGACTGGGCAAGGTGGCCCATGCTTGTAATCCCAGCACTTTGGGGGGTTGAGGTTGGCAGATCACCTGAGGTCAGGTGTTCGAGACCAGCCTGGCCAACAGAGGGTGCAGTGAGCTGAGATTGCACCACTGCACTCCAACCTGGGTGACAAGAGCAAGACTCCATCTAAAAAAAAAAAAAAAAAACCAACACTTTACCTAAGTCCTCTTTCAACTGGGAATTTACATTGGCCATTAAAGGGTTAAGAGCATTGACTACAGAATCCTTGAGGCCTTGAAAAACTACAAATAAAATAAATCTCTGTGTAGAGAAACACTGAAGAACATTGTGGGCTGTCTTTCTCATTCTTTCTCCCCCAAACACTCAAGTGCATTGGGCTATTATCTCTTCAGCTGCAAGATTCACACTGTATTTCTTTCCTAACTATCCATTTCCATTAGTCAGTGACCAAAACCTAAGGCAAGGGATCTTGTTAATTTCTTACAGTGCACAGAGATATATGAGATGGATTAAATCTCAAGACAAGGGTCAGAGCTTTCAATATGCCAGGTGACTTCAATACCAAAACATTTATCTTCAGCTACCCACTCTCTATCTCCATCCAATTCAGCCTTGTTTCCATCAGCTTGGAGATATGTGAGATTAATTAGTGGAACAGGACCCATGCTTCAGTAATAAAAGCAGAAGGAAGTGGTTCAGCTAATGTTTATTTCTAAACCAAATTAAAATTTCTCCTTGGGCCAGAGGTGCCAGCACACACAGACTCTGAAACTAATCACATGTGTGCTCCTGCGGCCCCAACTGGGTGGCGCTCCAGTGCCTGGTTCTCACCTTGGATGGTACCATTTTCTAACTTACCCAAGAGAAAGAAGCCCTCTTCACACCAGTAACACCCATTCTGGTCACAGCTGCCACAGTTACTATCGCATGCCTTGCATTCCAGTTCCTCACTGTAGGTCTTCTCAGGACAGGTTTTATAACAATGCTGATCAAACCTAGAGGAAGAAGACATCATTTCTTGCATGACATACGTTGATGTATTACTCTTCACCACCATAATTTAATCTGCTTATATATATCTATGCAGAGTTTTTTTTTTCGTTTTGTTTGAGATGGAGTTTTGCTCTTGTTGCCCGGGCTGGAGTGCAGTGGTTGATCTCGGCTCCCTGCAACCTTGGTCTGCCGGGTTCAAGTGATTCTCTTGCCTCAGCCTCCCGAGTAGCTGGGATTACAGGTGCACACCACCATGCCTGGTTAATTTTTGTATTTTTTTTCTAGAGAGGGGGTTTTGCCATGTTGGCCAGGCTGGTCTCAAACTCCTGACTTCAAGTGATCCGTCCAGCTCTGCCTCCCAAAGTGTTGGAATTACAGGCATGAGCCACCACGCCCAGCCCATGCAGCGTTTTCAGCAGGAGTGAGTAATTGAATTTCAGGTTTGGTCTGTTGTGCCCCCATCAACCCAAGTCACTAACCACCTCCTTCTGGACCTCCAAGGACTCTTTATCAGGGCAGCTGGGAGAAGGCTGGGGAGAAGGAAGGGGTACTGATACTTATTTATAGAGTACTAATTATGTGTCAAGTATTAGCTCATCTAAATCTCCACAAATCTCGTGTGGTAGATATCATGTATCTTTAATTTCTAGGTAAGAGAACTGGAGCTCAAGGTTAAGCGCTCAAAATCACACAGCTAGCTAATGGTGGGACTGGGATTTTAACCAAAGTCTGTGTGAAAAGGTTGCTTGTGTGATTTGTCACATAGCAACTGGCACCGAGGCCTGAAATAGCTTGGTGTCAAGCCCAAGCAGCTTACTAAAATGTCTGTAACCAGATTATTAACAATAGTAGCGAAGCAGCTTAGTTTTTATTTATAAATATTTTTATGTATGTTTTCTGTTATTCTCATGATACAGTAAAAATGTTGTAATTCAGACTTCACTGAATTGCAGGCTTACCTGAAGGGGGAGTGGACTGAAATCGACCCCTGCCTTTGATGAATTTCAAAGCATCAGCATGATATCAGGGGAAACCTTTGCATATCTTCTTTAACAACTTCTTTTTTTTTTTTGAGACTAAGTCTCCCTGTCACAGAGGCTGGAGTGCAATGGTGTGATCTTGGCTCACTGCAACCTCCTCCACCTCCTGGGTTCAAGCGATTCTCCTGCCTCAGCCTCCTGAGTAGCTGGGATTACACATGTGCACCACCATACTCAGCTAATTTTTGTATTTTTAGTAGAGATGGGGTTTCCCCATGTTGGCTAGGCTGGTCCCAAACTCCTGGCCTCAGGTGATCCACCCACCTTGGCCTCCCAAAGTGTTGGGATTACAGACGTGAGCCAACATGCCTGGCAACAACCTCTGTTGTATAGCATTTCACTAGCTGTATTCAAAATTGCTCAATGTTTTCAAAGATTAGATACGTTTGTTTCTTGAAATAAATATCTCATGTTGTACCCTTGGTGATATTGGAGCATGTTCTTTCAGGGTATTTGTTTTTCAGAGGGTTTTATGAAACATGCTCATTAGCGAGTTAGTGGTGAACTGGAGAGGCGGCCAGGTTTGGCTCCAAAGTTTAACAGAGGGTGTTTAACAAAGTTTAACAGAGCCTGGCCAACATGGCGGAACGCTATCTCTACTAAAAATACAAAAACTAGCTGGGCGTGGTGGTGTGTGCCTGTAATCCCAGCTACTAGGGAGGCTGAGGCACAAGAATTGTTTGAACTTGGGAGGCAGAGGTTGCAGTGAGCTGAGATCTTGCCACTGCACTCCAGCCTGGGCCACAGAGTGAGACTCTGTCTAAAAAACAAACCAAAAAACAAACAACAACAAAAAAAACAAAGTGGGTCAAGAGTGCAGTGATGTGAGACATAGTCAATGTACAGAATGGCAGGCTATTCTGGAAAAGTTAGATTAAAACCAGAAGGCTAAGAACTGATAAGGTTAACTGATCATTTTTAGTATGTTTTAGCTTGTTGGTCTTCCTTTTCTTTCCCATCCTCCTCACTCCTTTCACTTCTTCCTACCTATTACCACATTTCAAGAGTATTTGTCTTTGGACAGGTGGGTCACCTCCTCTTGTCACCATATTGCTTTGTCCGATTCCATGGATGGAGGGAAAAGGCAATGTGGTGACAAAAGGAGGTGACCTGCCAAAGTCCAAATGTTCCAAATGCAGACCTGTCACTAGCTGTGTGCAACCTGAGTAAAACCTTGTCCCTCTCTGAGCTTCAGTTTTCTCTTCAGGAGATTAACATCCTCCTTGTGTCTCTGACAATCTCGATAAAATGATGGAGAGATGAAATAGTTGTGGGAGTTTGTATATCACAAAACTTCTGAGTTCTTAGGAGGACAGGGAGGGATTATGCAGCCTGTGCATTACCCAGGGCCTTCCTTTCCTTTGCAGCTCCTTTCTCTTTAGTTTTCCTTCTAGGACAGTCAACAGTGTGTGCTGGAAGGGAGGCTAGACTAGGAAGAGGAGGTGATATTTTAACATGCCATTTTTGATTTTGTGGATTTTTATTAGAGTGTGTTGGCAGTGATGGTTACCTCTGTTTCATTTAACCTAGTGGTCTGTGTCTGTCGTTACCTAGGGGATGATTGAGCTAATATAGCACCTGGCTTCGCCCTGGCGCCTTTGCTCTGGTTAAGGACAAGGTATCCATGCAGACATTTGCAAACAGCTTACTTGGGACCAGGTATATTATTAAGGTCTGTCCATGAACAGCAAGATCTGAATCTTGGTAACCCATGGCAGGATTCCTAGACACCAGTGTCAGGCTGGATGACTTCCAGGATCAAGAAAGAGATGGCCTCCTTTCGAGGCAAGGAAACAGCTGGGCTCTTATTGCTAAATCCAAGAATTGCTCATTAATAGCCTGACAGGACAGAGTTGCTTCAGGCTACAGGGCCACTTTGCTTTAATCACTGGATTGAGGATTAAGTCAGTAATGCTTAAACTGCAGAAAAGTTAGTGCCATGAAAAGGAAGGCCAGACTTACCTGTAATACCCCATAGCGCAAGATGTGCATGTTCCTGGATCATCTGGAAAAAAATTAAAACAATAAAAAATAATAATTATGAGGAATTTGTCATTTGGAAAAACAGGCTCTGGAAAAGTTGTGGCTTGAGATAAACAATCCTGTGGGATAGTTTCATGAAATGTACTGTCCAGAAATAATATGTGAACAGATTGCACCATTTTTAATTAGTAACAAGATGTACACTAGGATTTATCTTTATCAAAGGTAATAAGAGTTCTCATAAACACTTGGCCCTACTTTCAAGGAGGAATAGGCTCAAGCTACTGGGTCTTCAAATTAAAGATCAATGACCATCCACATTAAGAACCCCCTGGCCTCTAAGAGATAGAGGGATCAAGCAAGTCCACACACAAATATTTGGAAAGGGCTACAAGCTTCTGACCCTGAATAGAGGGTTTTCCATCAGTTACCCCAGAATCTTGCCAATGGAAGTGAGCATCATTTGGGGCACTCCTTTGAAATCTACACAATTATTTTTCCCAAGTATCCACTTCATGTTATGCCCTTCACAACCTTCTTAAAAAAATTGTCCTGGTCTCATTAAGAGTAATGATTCAATGCGTCCCTTCTGGCTCACAGAAGGGTTCTCTCCTGCAGCTTTCAGGGGACTTAAAGAGAGAAAGGATTTTCAGAGTCATCATCTCAGTCTATTTCTCTCCCTCCTAACACTTCCCAAGAGATGCAACTCTCAGATCTGGCTATAAAGAGAATTCTATGACTTCCTCTGGCCTGCAGTTCTTGCACGTAATAGAGCTATCACTGGCAGGTTCTTTCTGTGATCTAACCTACCCTCCAGTCTTGCTCTTTTTATTTTAATAGGAGATGAAAGGCAACTGCTCCTCTTTAAAATGTTCCTCTTGGTATGTGAAAATTTTATGTCACCTTTAATTAACAAAATAAAACTATATCATTTGAACTTTGTGCATAGCATTCCTTTCTAATCTGTTCTGCCCTCTTCTGGTTTTCTCAGACTGCCCTTAAGAGGTAGACACAACCTCATCCAAATCTTTAGTCACACATTCATCTTAGGTCCTAGGGAGGCTACCAAATGATATTACTGTGTACTACACATAACACAACTAATGCATTGCACCAAATGTTAAGTGGGAAAATTTCTAGCAAAGGCTCTGCTAATTAAAGCAGGGATCTGCAGAAACTTCTGGAAATAGCTTGATGATGGTGCAGTGGAAAGAGCGCTGGCCTGGAAATTGAGCTTCCTGTTTGAAGTTTCAACTCAGGCTTAATTGTGTTGTGAACATGCACAAATGTCACTCTACTTTCTGGGTCCTGGTTTCTGCTGGTATAAAATGAGCTGGTTGGACAAGATGGTTGTTAAGACTTCCGGAAAGTCACAGTTTCCGAAGTTGAGCCTAGCAAGAGTTGGCAATTGTGGCCCGCCCCAGGACCTTGACCTTGCCATCTATTTATTTGTATTGTGTAAGAATGCTTTCATTCTATATAACTAGAGTTGAGTAATTGCAAGAGACCAAAGATATTTACTCCCTGCCACTTCACAGAATTTGCCATCCCCTGACTATAGCACTATCAGCTTGTGACTTGGTCATGCTCATCTCTGCTAGGGGACACAGGTGCTGTAGTTGTCTTAACAGCTGGTTTCAGAGTTCCTCTTAGCAAAAGAACCATCTATATTTGGGAAACTACCTTCTTAAGCTCCTTGGGGTAGAAGTTTTAATTGGAAGAGTTGAACAAGAGCCAAGACAGCCAAAGAGATAGAAGGGCCCTTCTGCAGGAAGCTGTTATCTGCTCATGGGCGGGAAATGGTTTTTAATGTCTGGGTCAACATGGTTTATAATACGGTGACTAAGACAGGACAGTGAAATGAACCAAAAACCAGGCTAATTAGGTGGAACCAGGAACTGAAGCTAGAGGTGACCATGAGAAAGAAAAGCTCCCTGGCATTCTTAGAAATCTTGGGGAAGGCCAATTCATAGACTGGGGATCTGAACCCATTGTAAGTGCATGCAGAGGCCCCAACACCAGTGGTTCCCCTGTACTAGTTCATTTTCCATTACGAGTCTATTTTTGCATCCATATTCTTTTCAGTTTCTAAATAACTTCCTACCACTAAGCTTGCATTGGGGCAGCTTACTTTACTCTGCCTCCCTGATGAACATATTTGACTCTAACAGTTTTGCTAATTTGGCAAGGGCTGGGGAAATTCTAATCCTGTTCTTTAATGTTCTGGTCATCCCTCCCATCTAGGAACTTAATGAGCTTGCTCTCTGCTCCTTTAAGCAGGTCACTGATGAAAATGTTAAACAGAACCAAGCCTCAGAAATGTGCATACCAATGCAATCTTGAGTTCAGGGACTTTTCCAGCCCAGTTGCACAGCGAATTTGGTACCTTTACAACTGTTTGCATAAATGAATAATGCATAGAACAGGAACTGTGTCTTATAACAGTTTATGAATGTCCTTTAGTTTTTCTCATTATTACCAGTTGTTCTAAAGAATGAGAATTATTTAAAAAATGTTTTCCACCCCAGAAGATCCACAAGTCAGACATAAGCTAAATGGATTTAGCTTGACCACTGAGAGGCTGCTGTTATGAGTTTAAGGAAGAAGGTAACAATCCCAAATCTAGAAGTTAACTCTAAGTCAGCTTGGCATTTAGATGGTGAGGAGGGGTGGCTTAAGGAGAAAGATGAATTTTCCTGGTTTCTTTTGTGTGTGTGTGTGTGTGTGTGTGTGTGTGTGTGTGTGTGTGGTAAGGGGAATGGAAAGGGAGTCTAAACAAGCTACAATTGTTAGCTGTCTTGGAAGGTGTTATCCAAAGAAGGATGTTTAAATAGCTCGGGTGATTTGATCTTGTCAAACTTTTGAGCTGAGAGAGCATATTTTTGGGAGAGATAGGGAAAGTTCAGTCAGAATTCACAGACAGCCTCACACATTTGGAAAAAAGCCTTCAGAAACAGTGGCTGGCTTCCAGCTGCTCATTGTCCCTCCTAAGGAGAGCACGCGAGCAGATGCCTTGTCAGGATGGGGATGCCGTCTTTCTGTCTCGAGAAAACTCATTTTTATTGTTTCATTTGTATGGGGTGGGTTGGGCAGGACTACAATGTCCACTCTATCTTGAGAGCTCTTCATGATGCCCTGTGTCACCTTCCCACTGTGACACAGTGGGATCATCCGTACTGTCACTCATCATGAACTCACTGTCCCATGGAGAAATTGCCTCCTGCTTCAACATCACCTTCAGCAGCCAATTTACATTCTATGCCATTTTATTTTGTTCTCAGTAACGCCAATCACCTTCACCATTGAATTTGGATGGATGAAGGCCACAGTGGGAGCTGTGCACATCGTACCTATAAGATGTATTGGGAAGGAGATATTTTAAACTTGGATGTCTAGAGAAGAATTTATTTTTATGGTTTACATGAACTTGGTGTCCCATAATTCAGGATACATACAAGTGGAGGGTGAGCATAACCATGGCAACCTCATGCAGACTGTGAGAGGGTCCTGGCCTCCTGCTGCTCTGTGAGAAAGAAAATGTCGGCCCAAGTCAGCAAGCTGGCATCTCATGAAGATGCAATGTCACAATTACAGGGTGAGACTGGCCGCCCTGGCCATGCTGGCTGTCCAAAGAGACCAGGTCTCCCTATGGTATCCAGGCTGGTATCAAACTCCTGATCCCAAGTGATCCTTCTGCTTTGGCTTCCCAAAGTGCTGCGATCACAGGGAAGTTATTTTGTCACTGCATAAAGATACTTGTGAAGAAACTGGACTCCCAGCTTCCAGGTTATGTGTCTCAGTATTCTAGCAGAAAAGCATGGAATTTAAGATGGAGTCTCACTGTGTTGCCCAGGTGGTTTTGAACTCCTGACCTCAAGCAATCCTCCTGCCTCAGGCTACCAAAGCCCTGGTATTACAGCCCAGTCCTTGGAGAGACCAGGAAATCCAGAGTTTTCTCCAAGAATGGGGATTCCTGAGAAGCGAGTTTCACATTGAGTCAAGAAAGGAGAATCATATACTGTCAAGGGCAATGGCCCGGAGCCTCAAGAACAGGGGAACAAAGAAGAGCTGGGCTTGACAGGATCATGGTGGTTCTCTGTCCCACCTAAAACCTACCACTACCTCAAGACCCCCTCAAGATGGTGACCTGTCTTGGTTTCAACACCTTAAACAGGAAACACTGGGAAGATGCATACTTCTCTATTCCATATCAGACGTGTCTTAGAGGAAACCCGTATAGCTGAGTGACCAAAGAAAAGCATGAGAAAAATGTGAAATCTGTGCCAGGCCATTCACAAGGTTTTGCTGGTGCCCTGGGGCCCACATGCATTTCAAGAAAAATAAAGTGTGTCGAATCTGCAGAAGACTGAAGTATGTCTGTCAGACCTGCCCCTTAGACCTGGAGCATGGCCTGCCCACCCAGGTTTGTGATGCTGAGTTGTCTTTAAAAGATGATACGCCAAAGTCAGATATCAGAGAAGAGTACTACATGCAGAATGTGGAGAGAGGGATTTCTAACTCGAATGGAAGATGGCCAGTTGGCCTGCTGGGGGGAAAGCCACATCCACCAGTGACATGCTGGACAAACTGGCCTGGACCATACTTTATTACCTGAGGAATAAGCCCCACATTTGCTCCTTCTGGGTGGAGGGAAAGGTGAGAGAGGAGAGGAGTTTTGATAGAGACACGAGAAGCCTACAGGTCCACATGGTTCCCTTGCTGATCAGATATTAAAGACCAATATTATACAGTCAGTGACCCTGTAGCAGATAAGCTTCTATTGTAGGCTTCAACCATGCCTCATCCGGAACTCCCAGAGGACAAGACTATCCCCACGCTAGTTGGTGATCCGGGTGATACCATTACTGAGACAGATCTTAAGAAATAATCTCTACCTATTTAGAGAGATCTGGACAATCCCTGTTGTGCAGAGACAACGGTGTGCATTCATCCAGGTTTCCACAGGGCAGGCTGCACAAGTAGCTGCAGAGAAGTCCTTTAAGAAGTTCATCATCAATGGCT